CTGAGAAAGCAACAGAGAACCAAGGGGATGAGCGTGATTTAACTTTATATTTCCTTGCAAGGATGAAAGCCTCGATTCCAGCTTTTACCCAGGAGACCACAGAAGTGCATTCTGTTAAAGACCACATCCCAGGGGACATCGCGAAGGAAATCACGGAAAGAGAACCAGTCAGCTCGTTGATAACAGAAAGATGTTCTGTTGGTGGAAGGTTCTTGCTGGGGGTGAAGGAGATGTTGACAGACACTGCAGCATGATCAGAGTTGCCAAGAGAGTAGAGCTGAGTGGTACGATTAGACTCGGGGATGGAGGTGAACTAGAGATCGAGAAAGGAAGCCTTCCCGTCATGGTTTATGGGGAAACAGATGCGAAAGTCAACTAATTGTGTGAGTGACTGAGTAACTGAGACGTTAAGGGTTTGTATGCCAGCAAGGTATCATATATAGGTTTTAAGCCACTATTTATTTATTTATTTATTTGATTTGTGTTGTATACACATTTCCTTCCGGGTCCCAACCAGAGACCTCAAAACAGAAATGACTTCATAATATTTTCTCTCCTTTTTGCTCTATCTTTGTATCAAAAGGACACGGTGGATTTTCTTTCTTCTTTCATCTTCCATATGTGTAGCTTGTGCTCAAGTTTCTATTATTATTGCAGCTGTTGTCGTCGGCTTCACCGTTACAATTTTCGTCATGAAAATATTATGAATATTATTATTGGGTGAGAGATCAACATATCAAGAAAGTGATGCTGAGGTACAACTACATGAAGATATCTATCATGACTCCCAGGTTGATAAATGTATATCATTCACACGTACGCGATATCCTGACAGGGTTTTTGATAAAAGCAGTGGTTAATCTTGAAGGTGGTGCCCAATTAGAAATACCTTCAAGTCGGATAACCCAATCGGCTTAGACGGTATCCAGTTACGAGTGTCCCCAAAGCAGCCCACTCAACCGTCAGCCATAATGAACCCTCACTACTCTTACTTATGATGCATAGTTCGTCAGCTCTTTGGGGTCATGCCAAACTGGTTAAGATTAGGCAAACCTGTGGTACTGAATGAGATATTTATAGTATTCCATTTTAATTCACCAAAACAAAAATTGAAAAATCAAATAACACCCAAAGCCATGAGAGCCATACCTGGTGTAGCTTCAGGGCATTTATTATTATTATTATTATTATTATTATTATTATTTGTTTATTTTATGTTTCCTACTTTGTATCCTATAGAGCCAGGTCTAAACTATGGTCCTTAGGCCCTGTAGGAGAATTGTCATTTAATTGATAGCACTTTTCCTTATATATAGGATGTTCCTAGTTGGGCGATTTTCTGGGCAACTTGTATGTTGATGTTACCTGGGACACTGTTAGTAAAATTGTTCATTCCTTTTCTCACGTGGCCCAGAGCTCCGATTGTACAGTCTCAGTCTTCATTACCCACATCCTGCTAATCTCGATCTCCAGGTCCTTGTATTTGAGTATTATATCGATTTATTTTCATGGAGGTGTTTCTCTCAAATTCTACTGCTATGTCAATAAGCATACACTTCCTAAATTTCTTGTCTTTTATGATAATATCAGTTATGTTGGCTTTTATTTCCCTGTCAGTTTGAATTGGCATGACACAGAGGATAGTTACGTCGTTATTATTATTATTAATATTAATATTATTATTATTTTTATTATTCCTTTGATTTCTGGTGTGTACTCATTTCTTTCCGGGTCCCGCCTAGAGACCTAAGGTTAGAAATGGCATCATGACATTTTCCACTGAGCAATTAAAATACACACACACACACACACACACACACACACACACACACACACACACACACATATTTTACATAGATAAAGATTATTATTATTATTATTATTATTGTTGTTGTTGTTGTTATTATTATTATTATTACTGTTAATATTATTAACACTTACAGAAAAGCGCGATTTAAGAAAAGAAAAACGCCCTTTTCTCTACATGTTGACAAATATTGAAAGAGTTACTTCAATTATTTTGTTCATTATTATTATTATTATTATTATTATTGTTGTTGTTGTTGTTGTTGTTGCCTTTGATTTTTGTTGTATAATCATTTCCTTTCTTGTCCCACCCAGGGACTTAAGGTCAGAAATAGCTTCATATTTTCAATAAACATTTTTGAAACTAAGAGCATACACATTTTGCATTAATAAAACCTTTTTTAAAGTGTGAATTGAATCTATGAGAACAATATTTTTTTGTATTTTTTAACACAGGGGCTAGCAGAGATCACTTCAAAGGGTCTATCAGAACCTTTTCCAATCAAATAGAAGACTCCAACCACAATTGTAATTATTGATGTCTTCATGGGTCACGTTTTTTTAGATTTGTTAATATTATTATTTTAGCGGTTGAGTTTTCTCATCGCATATGTCTGTTGGCTTTCGCTAGAAATCAAGTGACAATGAAGCTTCTCGATATCCAAGCAAATTGGTTTATTTGCTAACTTTAGAAGTACTGTCGTCTGGATGGCTTCAATTCTTTATTCGATTGATCATTTTTCCATTCTCCTTGCAAGGCTCTTCGAAACGATTTACTAATTTTCACTCAATACAAGGCCCAAGAGCCCCTCAAGGTCGATAGTTGCTAAATGAAATGGTTGTCACGGAATCAGAGCAGCAGGGTTTCTTAACATGCCTGAGAGGTGGTTGCTTACACCAAGACAAGCTCCCTTGGGGCGATCAAATGACCCATTAGGAAAACTGAGGGGGTCACAAGGTGAGCTGAATGAGTACAAGTATCGTTCTTATGTTTCATAACTCTTTTCTAGATTCAGTTTGATTCTCAGATTCTTATGCTAGGATCAGCAAGAAAAGCGAGACTTACTGTTTCACAAATCGGATCCTTCATTCAATTTGCTTCCTTAATCAGGATTCGGCGATCCTTTTATAAATTTCAAATGAATTTATAAATTTCAATGTATTTTACTTTATTTATTTTCTTTGTGCATATACCTTTAACTTGCATATATCCTTGATTTTCATATACCCTTTGCCATGCATAATCAAATCCCAGTTGATCACCGCTCCTGCTTAACCATGTCTATTTTTAACTAATTTTGAGTTAATTTGCTACATTCATAATCTCTCCTTATCGCCTGATGTAGACGATAAGCCCTTTGTTAGCAGATTTGATCATCCCTTTTTATTCTTTGTGCTATCTTCAATTTCCAAATTGATAAATTTATTAGCACTGTCTTGAACTGATGTAAATAATTATTCATTTTCACTTTTAAAAATACCCTCGTCGTAGCAATTTATATGAAGCTGCATCAATATGTCTGTAGGCTCTCACAATTTTTATCTGAATAATTTCACTATATAAGGATCCATGTTATTAATGGATGAATTAAGTGCATTGACAAAAGATTAAATTGAAAATTTGTTTTTTAGATATATTATCAACTTTAGGGTAGAGGCTTATTGATTTACCTACGTACACATGTTTAGAATTCTTTTTGTTTTTCTCTTGAAATAATTATCAATGCTTTGTTGCTTCTAGATAAAGCCCTTCGTAAGGTGTGGGCTGTACTTGGGAGAACAATTTTTGTATTTCTTTAAGGCATGGACTTCCAGGAATCCCATCAATTAGTCTACTGGCGTCTTTTCCAACCAATCCGAGGACTCCAACTACAACAAGGATAGTTAATGTTCCCATGTGCCAGATTATTATTATTATTATTATTATTATTATTATTATTATTATTCCGTCCTGGGTATGACGATAAACAACATCCGCGTCCTGGGTAAGACGATAAACTATGTCCAGCAGCAAGGCCTCTGATCAGGAGGCTTTGACGAGTGTGGAACCACCTCTTAATTGCTGGTGTTCCCAGGTCCACCCTGACCAGGGGTGGTAGCACCTGTTAGAATCCCAGCTATGGGCAATTAGTTAACACCTAAACTGAGGTAAAAATCATTATAAAAGTGTAAAAAAAAATAGGTTTTACTACAAGAAATACTTTGTAAAAGTTTATTACCGGAAATAAAATTTTGAAGAAAAAAAAATCAACAGCAATACGTTTTTGAAAATAATATTACCAGCTATACAATTTTGAGGAAAAAATATTACCAGAAATACATTTTTGATAAAACAAAATATTACCAGGAAAAAAGGTTGTCGGCATTAAATAACCCATTGAGGTTGATATGCCGTAAAACAAAAGAAATCAAACCAATTATTATTATTATTATTATCTTTATTTTATTTCCTTTGATTTCTGATGTGTACTCATTTCTTTCCGGGTCCCGCCCAGGGACCTAAGGTTAGAAATGGCATTATGACATTTTCCACTGAAAAAAAAATTACATAGACAAAGCCCTTCGTAAGGTGTCGGCTGTACTCGTGAGAACAATTTTTTGTATTTCTTTAAGGTACAGGCTTCCAGGAATCCCTTCAGTTAGTTTACTGGAATCTTTTCCAACCAATCCTAGGGCTCCAACTTCAACGGGGATTGTTGATCTTCCCATGTGCCACATTTTTGAGATTTCGATTTCAAGGACCTTGTATTTTGATAGTTTTTTGAAGATCTTCAAAGATACATTGCAGTCTGCAGGGACTGCCATATTATTATCATGATTATTATTATTATTATTATTATTATTATTATTATTATTATTATCATGATTGTTATTATTATTATTATTATTATTATTCAGGTTCCGACTATGAGATTAATGGCACCCAAACGAATGCTAAGGTGTACACTACAGCTGAACCTGGAGTAAACATTCGCACTGTAGTCGGCTACAACAAGTACACAAAAGAACGAGCCACATCTTATCAGTTATCATCATCCCGTCTCGCGTATTTCGTCATTAACAAAAACACCGGAACAATATCTACAGCCCTAAAAATCAATCAATCTGTTGGCTACCAATTTTCTTTGACTGTCATTGCTAAGTTTGGCAACAAATCCACAGAGCACCGTAACTTACGGGTGGACGTTGTACAGATGAATAGAGATAAACCTCAATTTCAATCGTCCTTGGTTACGTTTATTATCCATCGGAGAATCAAAAATGAAACGGTGATTGGTAATCTTTCAGCAACTGACCAATCGGTTGAAGAATACAACCGCAGGCTGACTTACTCTATACGGAAGCAAGATGAGCCGAAAGTGTTTGAAGTCAGCAAAGATGGAGTGCTGCGAGTAATTGGTAAGATCCCAACGCATGCTAATGTATTGAACTTTACCGTCTCGGCCTCAGATAACGGTTACCCTACCAAGAAAGCCTTGCAGTCTGTCAGCGTGAAGATTTCAAACATACCAGGTAAGTTTTGATTGAATTTCGGGGAAAAATCTTCTTCATCATCATCATCATCAACACCAACAAATCATCTTCATCACACTAGCACCATCATCATTACCAACAACACCGCCAATATCATCATCCACACACTATCACCAGCATCACCATCACCAAAACCAACACCAGTAGCAGCAGTAGCAGTACTACCACCACCATCACTATTATCATTAACACTACCATCAATATCATCATCATTATCATCATGATTGTTATTGAGGATGCTAATAATTTTTTGTCCTAACCCACTTCCTAAAATCAGTATTCAGATGTTTGGCCACTGAAACATAGATTTTGATAAGTGGATCGACACTTACTTAGTGTATATATATATATATATATATATATATATATATATATGTTTATACGTTCTTTTTTATAGATACAAATATTAAAGTAAATGCTCTGTTTATAATAAACAGTATTAACAATATTTACCGGCCTGAATGTTATTTAACCTTCCTCTGTAGCTAAATGGTATAACACATCAGGCTATATGTGGGTTCGTGTAGGATACAGGTTCTATTCCTGTCAGAGTACACAAATTTCTCGCACATTCAGGCCGGTAAATGTTGTTAATACTGTTTATTATAAACAGAGCATTTACTTAAATATTTGTATCTATAAAAGTAACGTATAAAGAGAATATATACATATATATATATATATATATATATATATAGTTAATAGTCCATTGGTATATAATCCAAGGGAATCCTAAGAATATAAAATATTAAAATTGATCCCCAAAAAGAGCTCAGTGTATTTATTATAACAGGGCATATAAATTCCTTCACACTTCTGAGTTGACAATGCTGACATAGGACTTGTTGGTTGAAATAGCTATTCGAATGAGGTAAATTTGGATTTCTATTCTATTTATACATATATATATATATATATATATATATATATATATATATATATATATATATATATATATATATATATATGCGCGCAGGCTGGTTTGGTTAAATACAACTGACAAGGTCTGTCTGTTTAATTCTTTATTGTATTTTTCCAATTTTCGAATAAGCTATTGCATATTGGGATCGAGATTGTGCGTAAACTATCCAAAGTTCATGTTTGTTCTGTTGTTTTGTTAAAGTGCTTTAAACAATGGCAGTCATTTCCAAGAACCATGTGGTGTCTGTGTGGTAGACATGATTCCACTGGGAATTTTGTAGTCTGGTGTGAGTTTTGGTGGCGTTATCGACTTTTAGTTTTAGGATTTTTTTATAAAGAATTTCAATATCCGTTTTCATTATTATTATTATTATTATTATTATTATTATGATCATGATCATCATCATCATCATCGAATTGAAGAAGTTGTAGCTGTTTGGTTCACGGTTAAAGAATTCCATTTGTTCTTTAGTCAATTGATGGTTGTGGAGACTTATAAAGGAATTGGGACGGTACATTTCCTTTTATATAAATTATTCAGCGTTTTTTGTTTTTTGGTTTTTTTTTTAATTATTGCTTTTCTGTTTGATGTGTTCCTTATTTGTTGTGGTAAAAATGTGGTTTAATATTTTCTTTGTAGTTGTCAGCGGTAATGGAAGATTTCAGAATATCGTCGATTTTTTTTTCCATTTCAGAATGGACAAGCCGGATCTTGTTGTTAGCTTTCTTTTTTCTTTCGATAAGAGAAGGTCGAAATCTTTTCGTACTAGTGTACTTATTCGCAGCTGGTCCCTGTTATTTAAACAAAGTATAATTTAGACAATAAATACTCCTCCAAACAAGTAGGATCAAATAGAACTCTTTAATTTTGGAGAAGGAAATCCTATTTAAAAAAAAAATTCCGAAAACTACAAGGCAACAAAGTCATCAAAACTCACAATCTTGTCTACCACACAGACACCATATGGTTCTTGAAAATGACTGAAACGGTTAAAAGTAGTTGAACAAAACAATAGAACAAACATTTCGATCCTGATATACATTTTATTAGAAAAATGAAAAAATACAATAAAAAGTTCAGCGATACCTAAGAATCAAAATGAATGTTTAAAAATGAAAAATATTTCTTGAAGCTTTTATTTTCATTATAATTTCAAGCTAATAAATTCAATTTGATATTCCCAATAAGCAAAATACTTTGCTGTATTTCAAAAACTAATTTAAATTGTCTGGAAGGACTTTTCGTTTTGAAATCACTAAATATTTTTATTAAAAATTATCTTTCAAAAAGAAATTTTATTTTCGGAATATTAACCGATTTAAATCTTAATTATTCGAATTTGAAACAAATATTATTTATTTCAAAGAGAAATCCTTTTTTAACAAGGATATCGTTGTTATCCCTCTTATTTTTTTTTTTTTTTTTTAATGTTGTTGCGTATGAACGTTCGTATATAAAAAAAAATGGAACATTTATACATAAAAAATCAAAATTCTTTTTAAAAAAATATTGGGGGTCGGTGAATCATAGTAATCTTATGATTAGTAAATATAGTTTTTACTTAATAACAATATCACTTAATAACGGTACAAATTAATACAGAAATTTAAAAGATTTACTAACGTTAATTCTAATTATTTTTTTTTTTTAAAATGAAAAAAAAAATCAATATTCATTTGAAAAAAGTTTTTTTTTCGGACAATAGTATCTTTAATATATCTTAATCATAAAAGCAATTAAAAGCTTTCTAATTAGAAAATGTCTTATTGCGTTTTCTACTTTACGATTCATTGCAGATTTTCTGTAACTGGGGGTCGTATTGCACGAAGAATGATTTAAATTCAAGGAGTTCTTCGTATAACTAATATAAACATTAAGCAATGCAATATTTAATTTCTCGAAATTTCGTAAAATTAAATATGTGCGTGTGCAGGGATAATATATCAAAGAAAATGTTTTAGCAAGATTTCCTAAAGAAACATTTCAAAAATAATTTCATTTATTTGGGAATAAGAATAAGTCCAACAATTATTTGAGTTTTGCAAGAATTTCACCACAAAAAAAAAAAAAAAAAAACGGTAAAATTTCCTATACTAATCTTTGCCACCCCCACCACCGGCTGACGCAAGTGAAACAAAATTTTTAACCAAAATCTCGAAAGTTCTAAAAAGGATTAAAAATATAATTTAATAATGAAAAAATCCATTGGTCTTTCCTCCTAATAATGATATCAACATTTTGACGATAAAATTTTGGTTTTATTAAATATGGAGATTTTTTTTTGTTTATTATGGTATACTTATTTTTTAGCGAATCAGTGGAGGTACCTAAATAAATGTCACACAAAGAATCAGTCGTTTGAATAAGTCTTGAAAGAATAGACGAAATTCTTTCTAATCTCATTTGTTTTGACGTTAGCGACTTAACGCTATAATCTAATGTTTAGTCTAAGACAATGACGTTTGAGTTGGGCATTTTTTTTCAAAAATTAAGATAGAAAAAAAAGAAAGCGATTTCAAAAAACTACCAAAGTGGATGTAATGTATACCAATGGAAAATAAATAAAAATAGTAGATTTTATAAATATATGGAATAATACCAGGTAAATGTGAAGAATGAATTCAGTTGTATCCTATAAGTAAATATTTATTAAATGAATGAGACTTTCTCGGCATATCGGATGAACCTTTGTTTAGACAATTTGGTCCATTTACTGAGATTCCGTTCGTCGAATGCCAAACCAAATGAAAGGAAGTTAAGTAGGAAAGTTTGTATTACTCCATTCTTCCAAGTATGAAGAGTTTTCCTGCCTAAAAATCAGAGATTTTATCTCGGCTTAAACACCGACTACTAACATTGATAGGAAGTGCCAACAAGGGAGAATAGGCAACCAGTTTATTACTAATCCCACGCCCACGCGGAGTTTCCACTTTAAATACGGCCTTGTCCATATTCCGTTTGAGTGGGAGTGCTGATAAACACCTACTTGCACTGGTGGGAAATGACACAATTATAGAGCAAGCCAGACTATTTGCAACTTCTTCAGCTGACGTTTACCGATCACATGAAGTGGAAAGATTATATTGAATTAATTCCTAAGTCTACGGCTAGAAAAGTTGCTTCACTGAATTGTACTAGACAATTTTTCTCGCCAGAATCTATTTTACACATTTATAAGACACCATTCGTCGAATATTGCTGTCGCATCCGGTCTCGTGATTCTGCTATATATTTAGAGACTTTTGATAAAATACAAAGAATCTGCAATGTTATTGGTCCTGATCTGGCATCTCGTCTTCAGCCTCTTTCCCACGGCCGTAACCTATCTTCTTGTGCCTCTTCTATAAATATTTACATGGTAATTGTTCTGAGGAACTTTCCTCTTTGTTATTCTTATTCTTTTATTGTACATATGAGAATGAGTTAGGACTTCATAGAAACTTGAGGTATTATGGTGGCTGTAGTAAGAATGCTAAGGATATTTACCTTGTCTTGCCACTGAGATGGGATGTGACACAAGGTAGGGTTTATTGTGGCGAAATCTACCACGTATACCCGGGCTAAGGACAAAAATTTTCCGAGCTCCGGCAACTGTCGATTGCGCTAGTCTCGAGCACCAATCCCCCTCTCTAGTGCAATGAGAGGGTGCGGCCTCGGGCACATCAAAGTATTATTTTCCTCAGTTGGCCCTCTGTCCTCCGAGGAAGCCACAACTGAGTCGCACTCTGCCCGAAGACAGATGCGACTGAGACATGATAAACCTTACCCGACATGTGCCAGGTAAGTAAGAATGGTAAGTAAGAATGTGTTATTTTAGTGTAAGGAATACAGTGATATGTTTGGGTCAGTAATTGTGGCTAGCTAAGTTAAAAATAAGGCAGATTGAAGGCCAGCCCATCCCCTAAATCCCCTCTTTTAGCCTTGTGCCACACTTTTGTATTTTCAAAATAAATATTACTTTCCTCTTTGATACCTAGACTTAATGAATTTAAGCGCAGTACTAGATTGGCAGCTAGGTCTCATCATTTTACAGATGAAATGGTTAGATTTAACCGTAAATTCTATGCTAACAGTTTCTTCTCTCGCACTTCTCGCTTGTGGAAATCTCTTCCGGCTTTTTGCTTTCCAGTCAACTTTGATCTTGAAAAATTTAAATGCAATGTCAATCGTTATCCATTGTTTTCTTAATTTCCGTTCTTTTATTGTCCTCTCTCCTTAATAATGTTTTCTTTTTCTTATATTCTTTCACAAACAAAACCTCCTTGCGTCTTAGTGGCTTTATTGCTTTGCTTAGGGCGAAAGTATTTAAAAAAAAATACTCGTTTTTTTTTATTTGCTAAATTTCACTTAATGCGTCCCCAAGAGAAATAGAGATGGAAATGAGGCGGATTAATTTTCTAAATGGCTTGTGTGTGGGCCTTAAAAGTCACCATTCGAACTCATACCTACTATCTAAGCTAGAATACCAACTAATGAGGGCCTTACCCAAACAGTCCTTATTTTCTATTCCCATTAAGACAGTGCTACTCAAAGTGGGGTCCGCGGACCGGTGCCGGTATGCGGACCATCAGCTACCGGTGCATGCCTAATGTCCAGGACATGCTCAGGAATCATTTGTAAACATTAAGGTTATATAATTTTCTTTTTTTGTTGTTAATAAACTGCTAATTTTTTTATTACTTTTTATATGTTTTGATATTGAATTATTTTTTGCAAAATAAATGGAAGATAAAAAATAATCATCTTTTATTATATCCATTATATATATCGTTTCCGGTATAAATTAATATTACCACGAATTATTACAGCTATGTGACACATTGAGAAAAAAAATGCCGATCCGCCATATTAGATAGTTTGAGAAGCACTGCATTAAAAGATGCTCCTCCTGTTACGAGCAGAGGCAATTGGGTGGGGGGGACTGGGGGGGGGTAAGCCGAACAAAAAAAAAATGACTAATTTTACGTCATAATAAAGTCCAGTATAATTGGAAAGAAATTATCTCGTGGACAAACATTAATAAATGTAATCACCTAAAAATTTCATGTTCTTTGTAAGTAGGGAATCTGCAAACAATAAATTCTTGTTATGACTCGACTTAACTGTCTATACACATAGATTCGTTGGAGTATGTCATATGATTGTGTTCATGGCTCATAAAAAAGAACGCTATATCTGATAATTGATGCTAAATATCAGACAAAGTATATAAAAAAGGGAATAACATATAATAATAATAACAATAATAATAATAATAATATAATAATCCAAGCGACAAGGAAAGAAAATCTGTGAATAATTCGCTGATAATAGCCTTTTGTTCGTGTATGTTTTTTTTTTGTTTTGTTTTGTTTTTTTATTTGAAACGGACGGGTTTCACATACGATCACCGAAGTTAAGCAACATCGAGCCTGATAAGTACCTAAATGGGTGACCGCTTGAGAACACCAAGTTCTGCAAG